CAAAAAGTGTTCACTGTCTAAGGTCGCTCTAGTTACCTACTATCTTAAAAGAAGTAGATATAGGATAACAGTATAAAGAGTATATTTGTCTTTGTTTCTTCTCTTGTTTCTTGTTAGAACTTTTAATATGTAGTCTATAACTTTACTATTAAATTTTTGTTTCTTAATTAATTCTGTCTCTAATCTTCTATTTGTTTTAGCTCGATTAGACTTTTTTTTCTTTTCTTTTATTCTTTTATTGTTCTATTTTCTAGTATTTGTTCTAATGTTGTGTTAATCTTGTTACTGCCTTTCTCTACTAATGTTTCTGAAACTGTCTTTAAATTATTATTCCATTTTATTTATTTTTCACAATTATCTGTTATTTGTTCTGTTCTGTTCTTACACTCTTTGCATTTACTTATCTTAATATATGTCTTGCCTTCTACTTTCTGTAATAGTTAATGCTCAGTTGAAATTTTCTTTTTTTTTAATATCTTACTAAGTTGTTGATTATGCTTTGGTCTATATACAATTTACTTTTTCTTTTTTTTGTCTTCAGATATCTTTGTTTAATTAATCATAGTGTCTATGTGTTGTAGTTTCTAATCTTGTATTGATTGTGTATTTCTCTACTTGTCTGTATTATTAACATCTCTTCTTCTATTTCACAGAACTATTTTGCTTTTTTTTTTTTTACATGACAGTTCTAAAAGACTTTTGAGCTGTTTTTATATGATTAAGTTCTTACCTTTTATGTTCACAAGTTGGTTCAAATATATTAAATCCTATTCATTAATTGTGCTACTACTTGCTGTTCATGATTTAATCCTAACTAAGTCTCTTATACTTATTCTATAACTATGTACTTTTCATAAGTAATTTTCTGTTTTGATATTTATTTTCATTTCTCTTGCTTTAACTATTGTTCAACAGGCTAAGTTGTGCTTCCAATACTTCATTTCTTCTGATCTTCTTTTTAAGTCCCAAATGTCTTTTATTAAGTCTGCTTTTTAACACTCTTGAGTTATCCTAAGCTTTGTTAGATTATCTAAAATATTTCTTCTATTAAGTCTTGTAAATAAACTACTTATTTGCTTTGTTGTTATCTCTTGACTTAATAATCTATAGTTCCTCAGATCTTTGTACTCAATTATGCAGTTATTTGTTGTTTTCATTATATTGCACTTTGTTTTGCCAAACATATTATTAGTTGGTAGATTTTGTCAATCATCTTTTCTGATATTCTTGTTAACTGCAAAAGATATTCTAATTTTGGAATTATTACTGTATTGTTTATATACATGATCTGGCATATTGTTATTTTTTTATATCTAAGATCTTTAACTGTTTGGCTAACTATTCCTTTTGCTTTTTTGCAGACTAGTAACTCTCTTATTTTGCTGTTTAGTCAAATTTCTAATAATCTTACAATATTGTTTTTTGGTTCTTCTGTTATTTTACTTTATCCAAATGTGATTTCTATATCTTCTTTTCTTAGTCTAGAATTCATTACTATAAACTTTGACTTTGCTCTATTTATTTTGCTTTAAAGAACTCTTCTGCAATTTTAAGAATTCTTAGCAGTTGGTCTTTGCTTTTTGTAATCCATATAGTATTATCTACATAGGCAATTACTGCTTGTCTATGTTTCATGATACAATTAATGTTTGTATTTTTTAGTACTTCTTGCTCTACTGTATAGCTTAATGATTTATCTTCTTGAATCCTTTCCAACAATAGATCATAAAAAAGCTACTATATAAGTGAAGAAATCACCTCTTCTTGATCTATATCATCTCCTACTATTATTTTTTCTGTTAAGCTATGAGCTGTAATCACTTTAAGTTGACATTTATAGAAGAGATTAATAATATATTTAATTGTTCTTTGTAGTATCTTGTCTTTTTTAAGAGCCCACTTTAAGCTTTCTAATAAAACTGAATTAAATGCCTTCTTTATGTTTTGTAAGAGTATTCATGTTTCTTTGTTTTTCTCTTGTACTTCTTCTATTTTTATATTTAATATATATATTGGCTGCTCTGTTGAGTTGCCAAGCAAGCCTGCATAATTTGGTTCTTTGAGTATTTCTCTTTCTGTAAATATTTTGGCTAACCTTCTTGTTATTATTTTTGTAACTAACTTTTTAAAAGTTTCAATTAGTGCTATTGGTCTAATATTATTCAGATTATATTCCCAGTCTACATCTTTTAGGATTGAATAGGCTTGTGCTATTTTCCACTTTTTTGGTATTTCTTTTGTTTCTAAAACCAGACTTGCAAGAGCTCTGAAGATTTTCTGTAATTTCTCTCCTACTCATTTTATTAGAGTGTAGCTTATGCCTAAAATTCCTAAAGCTGTATTGGCTTTGAGTTCTCTTAATATGTTTTCTCATTCATCTTCTTTTATCTTTTCTTTTAACTTTTCTTATTAGAACTCCTTAATCTATTCTTTTGGGTTGTACACTTTTATTCACTTCTCAGGCATCTCTTTTAGTTTGGTTCTTCTTTTTCTAAATTGATTTCTAAAGTGTTTTGCCAAATCTTTTAGAACAATCTTAGATTTCATTATTAGACTAGTTTCATCTTTACTTTGGGTTATAAATCTGTTCAGGACTATCTTTTTGTATAGTTTGTTCAAAAGACTAACAATCATTCATCCCTAATCAGTTTTTATCATTTCACATCTTCTATTTATATTTTTTTTTATCTGTTTTCTTTGGACACATTCTCACTCTTTTTTTTTTCTATCTTTCAAAATTTTTTGCCAGCCTTTTATATTATCTATCCAAGCTTCTGATCATTATTTGTGTAGTTTTGGTAATACTACTCTTATTTCTTTATTGATGTCTATAAGTTTTTTGTTTATCTCTTCCTTCTCTTTCTTCTCTGTCTCTTGGTTTCTTCTTATCTTTACTTTTTTGATTATTTGTTGTAATTCAATTATTTGTTTATGCTGTTGTAGTTTCTTTTGATGATGTCTTCTGTTTGCTTTTGTGTTAAATATCTTCTTTTTTGGAATTCTTTTATTCACTGCTTCTATTATAGCTTCTTCTATTGCATTCTATATCTTCTTCTATCTTCTTCTAATTGCTTTAATGCTTTTTTCTATTCTAATTATACTTAGAGCTCTTTAGCATATTCTTCTCAGTCTTTTTGCTTTGCTTTCTCATACAAGTATTTTGTTCTTATTCAGTCTTTATGTTTAGTTTTTGCACAGCTCTGGTTTGCAATTATGTGCTCTAACCACATAACTGTTGTTACTATCTTGTGATCACTGCCTGTTATACCTTTTGCTTCATCTATGTTAGCTTCCTGAAGACTAGCTACAATTGTTTTTGACAACCAGATATAGTTAATTCTTGTTGCTGCTTCTTGACTTAATCATATGTATGCTCTTTTTGTTAAATGCAAATTTCTGAAAGAGTCTGTAAAATCTTGCCTCTTAAGCCAATTGAAGATTGGTAGTTTTTTATAATCTGTTGTTTGTAGATGCAGTCTGTCTAATATATTGTCTACTATATGATTGAAATTTCCAAGTATGTCTATTTCTATATGCTTTCTCTTGTTTGTTACTATTTTCACATTTTTTTGCTGTATTTTCTTACTGATTGCTTTGTTATTTAGTAGAATATATACTCCTATTATTATCAATACTAGTTGTTTAAAATATAGCTTTACTTTTATCATATATTCACTATGTCTTTTAACTGTTCCAACATGTTTTTCCTAAGTTTTATCTATTAGGATCCCAATACCTGATTCTTTTTTCTTGTCCACTACTGCACTAGTCCAGTAACCTTTAAATTTCATATTAAGGTTATATATCAAAATTTTCTCTTCTTTTTCTACAATGTTCGTTTCTGTTATTCATAAAAATGCTATTTCTTCTTCTTCTGCCTAGCCTAGCAGGTTTTTTAGTTTTCAACCTCTGGTCTTGAGTCCATTAATGTTATGATATGCAATTTTTATTTATTTATTTTTATTTTTCTATTTTTTTTTAACTGCTTGTATCTTGTTTTTGTGTTTTCTGCTTTTCTTTTTCTTTTCTTTTCTTTTCTTTTTTTGGATTAAGAGATTTTTCTTTGTTTGTTTTTTTAAAAGTTTTTCTCTTACTATGCAGAAAATCTTCAATCTCCTTATCCATATTTATAAGTTCAACTAGGATGTCTTCAAGAACAGTTAGTCAGGCCTTCTTTTATACCTAACTAAATATCTTCTAGTTGATTTAGTCTGTCCAGAATTTGATCTAAGACTTCTTCTATCTGTCTTGTTTCTACATGTATTTGTGTATTTAGTCACATCTTCTTTTCAACTATGTTTTTATCATTTTTTTCTGCATTCATGTTTTTGACTTCTAACCATTCTTTTATGTTTTGTAACTAAGGATCACTTTCTATTTCAATATATTTTCTGCTTAGAATCTGTTCATTTTTGTTTTAGCTTTTCCTGTTAGTAGTGTTTCTGTCTTCTAACCACTCTTTTGCATCTTGTATTTGAGGATTACTTCTTGTTTCTGTATATCTTCTGTTCTGACTTTGGTTAGTTCTTTTCCAGCTTCTTTTTTTAACATTTTCTTCTTTCTTTATTTTTTTTCTTCTTTTATTTAGCCAGGATACTTGAAAATTGTTATATCTGATTAGTTTTGACTAGGTTGTCTTCATTTTTTTTTTCTGACACAAACATAATTATTGTTGTTCTTTTTTGATTTCTATTTCTGTTTGGTAGGATATATACTAATTTTGCACCTTTGTTTCTTAAACAGCATAGTAGTAATACTTCTAAAGTATTGCTTGATAGCTTTGTTATTTTTGCTATATACTAACTTTGTCTTTGTTTTGCTTTATAATTTTCTTTATCTTCTGTTACTCTTTCAGTTTGTTACTATTAACTAATATGGATCATGACGTGTTTTCTTCTGATTTTTCTATTTGGACTATTATAAGAGTCTTGTATTTGGATCTCTTAATTCTTGTTATGTATGCTTTTTAAATCTTTTATACATATATTCAATCTTTTTTATGTTTATATCTGCCGGCAGATCTCAAATTATTATATATTTGTGTTTCTATATTTTCTTTTTCTTAGTATCTATTTGATCTTCTGTTAGTTCTTTTTTTTCTTTATTGTCATTCATATTTCTTTTTTTTAAGTTTTAATGTATTATTTTTTTCCTTCTGATATTTTTTAACATATGTTTTCTCTTTTCTTTTCTTGTTTATTTTTTCTTCTTCTGCAATCATTTTGTACTAATCACTTTCTTTTTTATTGATTCTTTGTATTGCCTCACTTCTGCCATACTCATAGTCAAAGTCTACCTCTATCTATAGAATTCTTCTTTTAAAGACTTCTTCAATATTTTTGACATGTTTATTGTTTTTTAGTAATTATCTGATAAAGTTCATATGTTTTTTTTGGTCTTTCCAGGTACATTATATGCTAGTATGTTTATAAGTAGATTGTTGTTTTATTTGTAGCCTCTTTTGCTCAATGCCCACATGCTTTCTTTGAGTGGTATTTCTACTACATTGATTTTTTTTTCAATTTCTTGTTTTTTTTTTTTTTTTCTTATTATTGATTCTTGTCTTGATTCTTTTCTATTTATTTTTATGTTTTCTTGTTCTTGTTCTCTTTTCTGTTTTTTATCTTCTTCTTCATATATGGATGATTCAGTTTCTACTTAACTATTATTTGTTTGTCTTAGTTTTATACTTACTTTATTTTCTGCAGTTTCAATATTTATTTATAAACTTTTGTTGATATCTTCATCCTCTTCTTTCTTTTTTTTGTCTTTATTTTTGACTTTTTTTGTCTTTTCTTTATCTCAATTGTCTGTTATTATTCTTCTTTCTTTTCTATACTTCTTTTATCTTGGTACTGCTTTACAAAATCTAGTTTCTTTTTAGATTACTTTCTTTTTACTTTTTTTAGTATTTCTCTTGTTATTCGCAGAAATGCTATTTTATTTGGGTCTTATCTTATAAATACTGTAACAATATTATCTTTTCTACTAAATATTGTATAATCTTGCTTGCTTTATTGAAAAAGATTTTATTATATACACTATTCATCACCTCATATGCCCTTCTTGTAAAGATTATATTAAGGCTTTCTTTATATTCTTCTGATAAATTTCTGTTTATATTATACAATTATTTTCTATATGCTTCTATGTTATATGTTATATCTAGATTGAACTAGTTTGATGTATATGTTTGTTTGTTTACTTTGTTTGTCCTATTGTAACTTCTTGTATAACTTGAAGGATCTATGATACAGAGTTCTGACAATTTCTCAATTTTTCCAAACAATTTTCTATCTTTCATCAAAAGAATTCTTTATATACTGTTTTCTATTATTTTTAAGGTTTCTCTTTTAGATTTCTTATCAAACTATATGTAATTTTTGCTGTTTTGTCTTTTTTATTAATACCTCAAGTCTTGTTTTTTAGTTTAGTTGTTATGTTTCTCTTAGTTTTGCTTTCTAAAAATTTTGGTTAAGAGATCTACAAGAGAGAGAATGTGTGTAAATAAGTTTTAAATTAATTTAATTTTATATTATTTATATAGTTTAAAGTATTTTTTTAAAAAATAAAACTATAAAGAATAAAACAAAAAAGAAGTATATAAAAAGTTTTCTTAGAGTTGTAAGCTTTATTATTAAAAATAATTAAAATCTTTTCTTGTTTTAGAGAAGTTAGTATAATAATTATCTAATTTTATTTATCTTTAAAAAATTACTATTATGTTAACTTCTTTAAAACCAAATATAATTTTGATTATTTTTAATAATTAAGTTTTACAATACTAATAAAAATTTATATATACTATTTTTGTTCTAAATAATCTAAGAAGACATTAATAGTAAAAATTTACAAAAATCAATTTTTATTTAGTACTAAAATTAACTTCAGAAATTCTATATCAGGTTTAAGTCTAAATAATTGCTTAAATAATTAGATCAGAATTATAGTATAATCGAATTATAATACTAATGTATTTATTATATTATTAAATTATTAAGTTATAATTTTATTTTACTGTCTAATTGTTTATAATACATATTACAGTACATTGTAAAATAATAACTCCTATTTTATCAAATTTGCGATTTGGTTAGCTAATCTTCACAATTATTTTAAAGTTGGCAATGATGAATTTTAAAGCAGAATTTATTATTTTGTATACAGAGCCGCTGTAATAGTTGTGTATATTAATACTTATAATAGAAATACCAGGAACGGTGTACAAAGTACATAGGGTATGGTTTACTTGCGAGTGAAATGGTGTATGCGATTCTCAGCGTATGATTGGGTAATCTGTCATTGTGACTTTGCGTAGTACCCCGAACAATACTTTAAAAGGTGTACTGCCTTTGTATGCGAAATCTTAAATTAATTTGTCAACATGACTTATTCATCATTCAATATTTAAAAAAAACTTATAAATGAGTGCATACATCTGTAAAATCAAAGATGCAATAACAAACAATAGTAAAAATGATTTTTTTAGACATAAAAATTAGTGACCCAATATAAATTTAAATGCCCCAATGCTAAAGATTTGGTAATTTTCAATTTTTTTCATCGAATGTTTTATCGGGCTGATAAAATGATAATCACTGATCGTCAAAGACTTAATCGAAAGAATTTGTCCGTCATTTCTAAATATGTAGTGGGTACAAATTATGTTTCGTAGATTTTAATGTTTTTTGCAGGGCCCAGAATTTTGGGTCGGATTCATTGGAACTAAGTGACGCTATATAGCGGTCAGACATTGACTACATCAATAGGTTTTTAGGTTCAGTCAAACCAATGTTCAAATTGCAAATACTATCGACTTCTTTTACAAAGGGTCATTTTCTTATACCATGAATGCATTGCAATGAAGAATATGGTTTCTCGTAACTGAAATGGTGTCTGCGTAGGTTTCTCCTGTACCTGGTTTCGCGCGACAACGTTGCGCAGCTACTTATTTTAAAATTTAAATTATTGAAATAGTTTTGAAATTCATTGATATAGGTCTTGAAAGTTAAGCAACTAAATTTTTTTAAAAGACAAATTCAGTGGTTTTTACTTTGAGGGCCCATATATTATTGGTTATTATTTAGTTAAAATATAATTTTTTTTACCAGTGTCGGTAAACCAAATCCTGCTCGAAAGTACTTTCGGTAGACTTAAGATTTCGGTAGGTACCGAAAGTACCCACTTTCGTAGCCATGACCGATTTTTTGGATCATACCTGATCCTGAAATATGATTGGTCAGCGAATTTTAAAGGTTGGTAATGTGCAAGTGTTAATTCGAGGCACAACATATCAAACTACTATGTAGGGTTCGGACTGAGCTATGACTCATTTCTAACTAGTTTAGGACCAGAATAGATTTTTAACACCCATATTTGCTATGTATGTAACTATTCAGATGTGAGTCCTAGTGATTATTTAAATACCGCATTGCAGCCATTATTGATTACCTGATTGTATTCGGCAACCACCGCATTCGCGTATTAGCGTTAATGGCAAATTAGAATCGACATACCGGGCCGAAAAAATCGGCTCAGCCGAATTTAAAACAGGCTACCGGTTATTTAAATTTTGCGTTATCCGACGCCAAGGTTTGTTACACAAATACCCTCCCGAACATCATCCGCGAATAATGTCAAGCACGTTTAGGCGTCAAATATAAATAGTTAAAATTCAACGATTCGTTTTTTTTTAAAAACAACTTTTCTCATCATTATCAACCAATCCATTCTTTTTTCGATGTCAATACCAATATTATTCAATCTAACTGATTCATTATCGCAAGATTTTTCAAATCTATTGAAACAAGATATCGCAGAAGGCTTTGATGTTTCAATATCGGTCGGGGAGTTTCCAAATAAAATTTTCTTTGCACACTCTCTGATATTGAGAGCTAGATCACCATACTTTCGTAAAATTTTATCTCAAAAAAAATGTGGACCAAACGAAGACGTGATAACGTATACTTTAACCGAACCGCATATTTCTCCAACCGTATTTGAATTTATACTTGGGTAATTCTAAAAAAAAAAAAGACAAAGTTCGGATTTTGCTTTTATTTTGGGAAATTTGGCAAATCGGTAACGAATTTATGTACATTTATGATTTTATAAATTTACGATGAAAATTATTTATTTTTTTCATCATACCTGATCGATCAATTAGATACATATACAGCGGCTGCTTAACATTTAAAGATACACAAGACAACGAGCTAATTCTTAACACAGCAATAGCAGCAGCAGAATTTTGCCTTACCGAATTATGCGATCTACTACAATGTCACTTACTATATCTAAAATTTGAATGGGTTCACAGAAACTTTGTATTAATCCAGAATTCGATATTACGACGTGAAGGACTGGAAAAATTACAGCAAATTTGTACAGATAGACTTAAGAAAGAGCCGGAATCGATCCTCAGGTCACCTGATTTTGTACATTTGAATGAAGATGTCGTTGTAGAACTTCTCAAACAAATTAATATTCAAATGTCAGAAATTGAAATTTGGGATTACGTACTAAAATGGGGAGTAACGCAAACCCGAATGCTCAAGTAAGTATGATGCCGTACAAGTATTTACGACATTAAAATCTTAAATCATAAATAACAAATAATTATGTTAATTAGTGATAATTTTGGCCGATGGTCATCAAAAGATTTCCTCATATTGGAATTGTCACTGCATAATTGCCTTCCTTGGATCAGGTTTTTCCATATGCCATATCGTGAATTTTCCATTAAAGTAATGCCATTTGAAAAGATCTTACCAAAGAAACTGGTTCACGATGTACAGCGTTATCATTTCGTCCAAAATAGTCAACCACTTTGCAATACCATTTTGCCCCCAAGACTCGGTGTGTGTAACTCGTCAATCATTAAGTGGTGTCACATGGGATTGGTTGCGAGTTGGATTGATCGCAAAGATTGTGAGAGTGTTTTGTGGGACCCTTACGATCCTATTGAAATTCCATATAGATTTGATTTGATTTATCGGGGAAGTCGAGATGGATTTACGCCAAAAATATTTCATAAAACATGCGACAATCAGGGACCGACAATCACTGTGATAAAGATCAAAGGGTTGGATCAAGTTATTGGCGGGTATAATCCGGTATCTTGGCAATCATTTAAGCCAAATGCTGGTTGGTCAAGAACTACAGAGAGCTTTATATTTTCGATAGGCATTGGGAAATCGGATTCACTGACAACCAAGAGGACAACCACTATAAGCCGAGTCGCGGACGCGAGTAAAGCAATTTATAGTTTTGTAGCGTTGGGTCCCTACTTTGGTGATGGAGATTTGAAAGTCTGCATTCGGTACGATAGCCCATGTTGTAGTTGCACTCATAAATCTTATTCTTTAAAGATTCTTGAAAAGTCAGATTGGATGGTTGTTGAGGAATACGAGGTCTTTAAAGTTGAAACAAAGAATGAAAATAAATAAAAATCTATGATAGATGCTTGAAGGCAATTTGGAAGGTGGCACTGTTTGCAAGTGCGTTTGGAGAAAAAAAAACAATATAGAATTCTAGACTACTGATAATTCAATAGACGAACATTACCTTCGGAGATTGGGATTTTATTAAACAAAATTTAACCAAATAAAAGTCGTTTTTTTTCGGAGTCGAAATTGAAATACTATAGTAACCTGTGTTCTATTAATTGTTGCATATTATGCTGAATTTTGATGTCTTCATTTGAACATATGTAACCTTAATAAGTCTGAACACTTTCATTAAGCCTAAATATACCTTAGCATTTGAATGTAGCAAAATGGAATCTGTAAATGAAATTTAAGTTTCCGTCTAAAATTTTTTTAATCGTTTAACCCTTTAACCGCCTAACCGTATTCGCGATATCAAATGATCAACAAATATTGGGGGAAATATTCTTTTGATTTAAAGCAAAAATTTCGATTTAGTTCGATTTTGGCTAGAATTAAGCTTCAAGTCAATAACTCTGGCCTGTATTATGAAGATCACGTGGTTATTTCGAATTTCGGCAACTTCCCCAGTATCACCATAAAAATTTTGCAGTTACGTGCGATGATCGACCAATAAGAATCATCAAATAATTTATTTTTTACAACTTTGAGCAAAGGTTTCTCAACAATCACCTAACCAACTTTAATGATTTTTTTTCTATTTGAATTCTACAAATATGTAGAATTCAAATATAAAAATCTTCATCGAAATTGATTAGGTGGTTGTTGAGAAACATTCGCTCAAAGTCAAAGCAAATCTATCCTGCCTATAAACAAATTATTTTTTAATTTTTTTAAAACATTGAGCGAAGGTTGCTCAACAACCACCTAACCAATTTCGATAAAAATTTTTTTATTCTAATCTGCATATTTGTAGAATTTGAATAAAAAAAAATTTATTAAAATTGAAAAACTCTAAAAATTGTTTTTACAAACTTTTTTAGTAATAAAATACATAAAAAATTTTTTTTTAATCTTTGTAATAAGAAATATCAGAAAGTGTATTTTAAAATATATAAACTTAATATGTATTAAAAATAAATGTATATAAATTCAAGAATTTATTTTTAAATAAAAGTTACTTTTAAAATTTAGTACTTTAATAGGTTTAATACAATAAATAATATCTGATTTGTTAAAAAAAAAATAGTATTGAACTTGTATTAGTTTTATTTTTTTATTTTCATTACTTAATCAGATTAGTTTGAAAAAAATTTTTTAGATAACTATATATACTGTATATGCATATCTAAAATTTATAAACTTTAGTTTAAAAATTGTGTATTGTGAATATGATCTTTAAAAGCAAAAGGCATTGTTCTTCATCATCGATACTGTTTTACTTCTTCTATCATTTTAGTAATTTGATCAAAGTTTTTCTTTACTTCTTGAATCTAATACAAATTATTAGTTGTTTTTTGTTCTTGAAGAAGCACAAGTGCTTTGGTTGTTGCTTCTATTAACTTATCATAAAGAGTACTATTTTGGTTATTCATTAAATTTATTGAATTATTATTATCAAAATCTTGAATATTTTCAAGATTATCATATAGGATAGACTGATCTGCATGCAGAATAGTTAAACTTAAACTTTCTTCTATTTTAGTTAAAAATAAAGGTTGACAATTCCTTTTTAAGTTTTTAAAAAATTTATTATCAATTGGTTTTTTTTTGTAAATAAGGTGTTTGCACAGATTAAATCGACTAATTAAAAAATAAGAGCATCTACAAATCCATTTATTAATATTAATTATATATTCATTTTTAATAGAATGTACAGACAACTTTTTCTATTCGGATTTTATTTATTTAATTTATTCTGGAGTTTGTCTTTATAATTAAATCTGCTAAAATTTTCTTTATTGATGAGGAACTACTTTTAACATTAATATATATACAACAAGATCTAAACAAGATTGAAAAAATTTGTATAAGAAGTCTTTTTTAATCACTTTTTAGTGACCTTCTATAAACATCATTGTTTTTAAAACAGAAATCCTTTTCTTACATGCAGATCATGTTCATAAAAACTAATGTTTTCAGTATATTATTTATTCTATAGATAACACCAAAGAGAAATTAAAAAGTGTTTTTTACAAAATAGATACATCTCATTAATTGCTGCTTTCTGAATTGCTATATTTGTTAAAAACTGTTCATCATTTGTAGGTATAAATGGATGCTAATGGAGATGTTTTTCTATTATTTGCCAAACAGTTTGACAAAATTCATTTAGACAAAATTTTACTGATTCATTTTTATCATCAAATAAAAAATATTTGCCAAATTCAGATAAGAAATTATATTGACTTCTAGTTGACTTATTATTAGCTAATCTTATTTTTATTGCTTTGCATATATGCTATTTGCATATTTGTATTTTTATTCCTTTCTAGATAAAATGTGCAGCATTTATTTGAGAAAAGTTTTTATCAGTATAAAAAAATTCTGAACAAATTCTTGCATCATGTAATCTTGTAAGAAAATTTTGAATAATAGCAGTTCAAATTCCTTTACCACACTGACCATTATGTTCTAAAAACATATAGGCAAGAGGAAAACCTGTTTCATTCATCTCAACGTAAAGTACATATAATTTAAATCTGATATTATTGGTATTGTACATAGCATCCATTCTATATTTATGAATCTTTATTTTATTTTATTTAAAATATTTATAAAATTTAGTTGTAAATACAATAAACATAAGGTGAGATCTTTTCTAAAATAATATTATAATTTTCTTCTTTAAGCCATTTAACTGCAGACTTAAATGAATCTTTATATCTTTTATATCTATATTGTCCTAACTGAGACTACTAGAAATGTATTTGGTTTTGATGAATAGACAAGTCCAAATTTTTAGCTACAAATTGAGTATAAATTTCTCTTGGCAATAAGTTAATATTATCTTTAATAAAATTTTTTATCTTTTGAGGTACAGTAACTTTAATTGGTTTGTCATACAAGAAATCACGCTGTACTGATAATTTTACTATATCATTTAATTTATCAAAAGTAATCTTTATTACTCCATTATAGTTGAACCAATCTATTGATAGTTTGTCTCATTACTTAATATATCTTAATGCTTTTTACATTTCTTTGCTAAATCATTTCTTTGAGAACAATAGTACCAGTAAGTTATTATACATTTTTCCTAAACAATTTTGATGATAAATCTATATAAAACTATCTATATCTTTAACAGATTCAGCTAAATCATCAGCTATTTTTTTTATTATACTATCGAGTATTGATACATTTACTGCACATTTAAAATAAAATTTTGATAAATTTTCTTTATTTTTTTCAGATTGCATTGAATAAAAATCTAAAATATATGTTATATAATCAGATAAGTTAGTCTGTTTAAGTATATTCAAAGAGTCTACATCATCATGATTCTCTTTATTATCTTTGACTTTAAATACTTTTTTCTCTTTATTATCTTCAATTTCAAGAGCTCTTTTTTTGTTTTGTATTGCTGAACAGTTTTAATATAACAATTTTTACAAGTATTATATTGGTTTGCAATATGATTATTTGCATCTTTATCTATAAAACCACTAGATGGTTTGTTAACTATACATCTAGTACATATAATAGTTGTAGCATTTAGGTTTGAATAAGTTTTTATTTTATCATATATATTAATAATAATATTAAAAAACTAATTTAAAAAAGAATTGTGTATTAATGATTTATACAATTTTCTTATATTAATAAACAGTTTCTAATCAGAGTTTTAATTATTATATGTGTTGTAGTATTTGGTTCAATTTATAATAATTTATCAAAATTCTGCAAATGTTTTTTTTTAAAATCTTTATAAACTATAGAATAAATATATTCACAATTATCTAATGCCTTTGTATTTTATTTAATTTCTAGCAAATTATTTAAGGATAGGGTGTAATATTTTAAAATTATATATAAACTTAATGGTATATTTTTTTTATAATTTCAATTATAAAAATTTTTACTAATTAAATATTTTTTGAGCTTCTAAGTAAAGTTTTAGAATAG